TCCCAAGAGCCCGTCAGCCCCAAGGGTGGCTGCTGGAGGTTCCTCAGACAACACAGAGGGCCCATGCCTCTGGGCAAGGGCTGCTAAGCAGGCCATTCTCACCCAGAACAGGAGCCTTCTCCCATTTCCGTTCCCCAGCCTGGCACTTGGTCCCAGATGCCACACCCAGCTTGCTTGCTTCAGCGGCGTTGGTTTACTGAAATACCCTGATACAGGCACGGAAGCTCACACCAGTTCCGCGGCGCAGAGAAACTGCAAGTCATCATCTTCTTTGTCCGTGTTTCCAGGAGGCCCGGTGAGCTGCTGGCTCGCCTGCAGTTGGCCGGTGCCATCTCAGCACCTCTGTGCTCCGGCTGCTGTGCCGAGCAGCAGCTGGAAGCCCCAGAGGGAGGGATTTTTAGAAGCTTGACTTTCCCCCTTCAGTCCTGAGTGCATCGGGGAGGCAGCTGCCTTCTGTGCACCTGCTGAGTAAGTTGGTTCTACCGGATTCCTGCTGGGGAAGAGCAGTATCAGGAAACAAGACCTTTTGGGGGTCCCTGTGCCCCAGAAACAAGACAGAAGACGAGCCCGTGCCTCCCAATGAAGTGTGTGCACATGTGTGCATGTGCATGTTTGTGTGTGTGCATGTGCATGTTTGTGTGTGTGCATGTGCATGTGAGTATGTGCATCTTTGATGCATCTGTGTGTATGCGCATTGTGTGTGCATGTGTGTGCACATGCATGTGTGAACATGACACCTCTGTGCGTGCACATGCAGTGTGCATGTATGTGTATGATGCACCTATGTGTTGTGTGTGCATGTGCATTGTGTGTGTGTATGGCTCGATTCCAAGGAGTCATTCATTCACTCACCCAATATTTATTGAGCTGCTCATAAATCCCAGGGCTGTGCTAAGCTTTAGGGTGGAGACGAGCTCCCCGCCCTCCCCCAGAGCACCCTCACTGAATGCCAGCCAGCAGATAAGCAAATAAACAAGTCATCACGGGAAAGAAACCAAGGTCTGCGGGAGAGGAACCTGAGAGTAGGAAGTGGCTTTCAGAAGGTTCTCGAAGGTGACTCTGAGGGGCTGAACCCGAAGGGGAAGAAGGCAGGAGGGGTCCGGCCAGAGGAACGGGTCTGGGCAGCGGGAGCAGGGCGGACGGGCTGCGGGGGAAGAGGCTTGGTGTCTCTGGGACCCACGGGAGGCCTGGCCTCCACAGTCCTCATGGGTGAGTCCTACAGGGGATGTAGGGGCAGATTCTGCAGGGCCTCCTGGTGCTGGTGAGAACACGGATTCCGGTTTATAAAAATGCCCCTTTGCCACTGGGAGAGGGCGGATTGTGGTGAGGCAGGCGCAGGCTTCCCGTGGGAGATGCGAACAGCCTGGGCCTGAACTGGGCTGTGAGGGGATTTTGTCAGTGAGGCCATGTATTCTTCCAGTAGGTGATGCGGTGCTTTGGGCTAAGGAGTCACAGGAAGGCTCTGTAAGGGGGTGTTCCCACAGCGGGGCAGAGGGAATTGGGGGCCAGCAGGCCAGAGGGAGGGGGGACCCCAGGACGGGCCTGCAGAGAGGACGCAGTGCAGTGGGCTGCCTGGGAGAGCTGCTCGCTGGGCCCCCAGCAGCTCACAGGTGGACGTGCCAGGTGAACAGCAGGCCTGTTGTGATGGGCGTGGGGCAGGGTATCAGACTGCCCTTCATTTGACCCTTAGAGTCAAACCAAGTGTAACATCTCTGAAGTCTGAAAAGGAATATGCGTTAGAGAGCCGCCCAGAAAGGTGCAGCCGGAATTAATTCTTAGCATAACTTTTGTTTTCTTTATAAGGACAGGTCATAAAGCAAACATGGCCTTAGCTGGTTTGGCTCAGTGGATAGAGTGTCGGCCTGTGGACCAAAGGGTCCCAGGTTCGATTTCGGTCAAGGGCACGTGCCTTGGTTGCAGGCTCCTCCCCGGCCTGGGCCCTGGTTGGGGTGTATGCAGGAGGCAAGCAATCGATGTGTTTCTCTCACATCGATGTTTCTCTCTGTCTTTCCCTCTCCCTTGCACTCTCCCTAAAAAACAATGGAGAAATATCCTTAGATGGGGATAAAAAATAATAATAATAAAGCAAAGGTGAAAGCCGGTGCAGACACTAACACATTTTCTTATGCCCATGCACACATGAGTGTCACACACTTGTATACACACACACACACACACACACACACACACACGCACACACCCCAGCATTGTGTAGGAGCTAAACGATTGTGCTCCCCTCGGTCACCTGAAATTCAGGGAGGAATAGCTGGAATAGTAACGAGGGGGGCGACTCCCCCGTCCGCCTTCTTTAAAAGCAGAGCCATTTCTGTGACTTCTTAGGGAACATCATTTACCCTGTGGTGCGTGTGTTTTTATCTTCCCCCTCATTTTCCAAATGCTTCCTCCTCGCCCCAGTGCCTCGGAGACTCTTCAGTCGGGAGAGAGGCTTTCTGAGTCGACGTCACGTGGGGGAGTTTTGCAAACATAACAAGAAGGGCGTGTTAGTCCCTGTCAAAATATTTTCCTGTTTAAACCGGGCAATTTGGGGCAAAAGCTGAGATGCACGTCAGGTTAATTCGTGCTTATTATTTCAGGCGAATAATTTCACCAGGAGCCCGCGTCGGTACATTCATGTTTGCATCGTGCACGGAAGGAGCAGGAGGAGAAGAGGCCAGGGGTGCAAAGGGGCGTGAATGCCCATCACCGGCTCCCAGGCGCACCCGCTAACCTAATAACGCCCCCAGGTGCGCCTCTGTCACTGCTAAGTGGGCAGACGTCCTTTTCTCCTTAACGGCTTTCACAGAAAAGCTATCTGAGCCCGGCCGGTGTGGCTCAGTGGTTGGGCATCGACCTATGAACCAGGAGGTCATGGTTGATTCCCAATCAGGGCACATGCCCGGGTTGCAGGATCCATCCCCAGTAGAGGGCGTGCAGGAGGCAGCCGATCCATGATTCTCATCATTGACGTTTATCTCTCTCTCTCCCTCTCCCTTCCTCTCTGAAATCAGTAAAAATATATTTTTTTAAAAAGCAATCTGAGAAGAGGCAGGGGGACAGGCAGGCTGTGTTACCCGGAAGGTAGATAGATGGGAGGCGGGTTGAGAACAGCACCTGTGTGGGCAGCATTTAGACCCACTCCAGGGATGTCTGCTGGGTCCTGGGGCTGATTTCGGGGGGTGTTTCTGAGCTAAAGGGGAGCAAACACAAAGGAAACCCTGTCCTTTCTCTGCCTCTCTCAATCGCTGTTACATGAAAATAAGGATGAAAGGGTGGGCACACAGCACTTTGGAAGACAGTCGATGTGTGCGGAGCCGGGACAGGAGAGGCACCTGGGAGAGGGCGCAGGTGATGGGCAGCAGCCCTAGCTCAGCTCGGCAGGCAGGATTCTGTGTGGCTTGTGTAGGTTCCGTCCTGACGGGCACAGACCTGCCGGCTGCCTCGCTGCCAGGCCTCCCAGCCTTCCCGGCTCCCTGTCCTGAGGGCCTGGGCGTGCTTCCTCCTGTGTTTTCCTCTTTTCGTCTGTCCCCACGTTGCCCCATTTCCTACCTCGAGATTCCTGCACTTGGGCTTCGCAGGAGTGACTCACGGTATTCGCCAAAGGGCAGGAACGGGTCTGTGCTTGTCAGGGGGTGGTGAGCGCAGGCGGATCCCCTGTGCCCACCCTCGGGCCACACCGCCCGGGAAGATGAGTGACAGCACATCCCTCCCACGCTCATTGCAGTTAATAGCTGATGTCCGTCAGCCTGTGGCTGGAGCGAGGGATCGATCCCCCCGCTGCGTTTCCTTGGCACGCAGCTCTGCAGTGGAGGCGTCAGCGCCCGAGTGGATTGGATCCGCAACAAGGTTGTTGTTGGGATTAAAGAATCAGGACTCAGAAGGAGTTGGGACCCAATTTACTGATGTTCTGGGAATGCGTGGTTTTAACAATAAGGTCTTTGCTTCTTCGTGGGGATTTCAGTTCAAGTCTGCGTGTGCTGAGGGCACAGGTCCGCGTGGAGAGACCCTCCAGCCCCCACCCAGGCAGCCAGCCTGCGCTGGGAGGCCGTTCAGTCTAAGAGAGAAAGGCTTCCATCCCCAGGAAGACATTGGACTGTTTTTCTACTTTACGGTGCACAATGGTCTGCTTAGACTGCAGTGATGGCGAACCTATGACACGCGTGTCAGAGGTGACACGCGAACTCATATTTTTGGTTGATTTTTCTTTGCTAAATGGCATTTAAATATATGAAATACATATCAAAAATATAAGTCTTTGTTTTACTATGGTTGCAAATATCAAAAAATTTCTATATGTGACACAGCACCAGAGTTAAGTTAGGGTTTTTCGAAATGCTGACACGCCGAGCTCAAAAGGTTCGCCATCACTGGTTTAGAGGTTAAATATTCAGCCAGACCCACACGTGTGACTATTGACATTTTTCCATAAACTCGGTTGTGTAAATGTATGTGTGTGTGTCTAACGGGCAATGTTTTAAGATGATTATACCTAAGTGGATTATGCCTAAGTGGATACTTTATTTCTATTGATTATAATTTGCATAAATCGAGTGCACAGGGGACTGCGTGTCTGCTGGCGTGCAGGGTGGTGATAGGATTGTGAATGGCTCATTAGCCCAGGAGAGCCGGTGACCGAGGGCGGAGAGGGATTGCTATCAATCCGAGATCAAGTGGCATCTTTTCCACGTGGATTTCTAAATCCCCTATTACTTTGCAATCGGCTCCGGGCATATTTTAGACGAGAGGTAGGCCACCTCCCATTCCTGATGGGAGAGGAAATAGTGGATCTGACAGTGTGTACCAGATATGGAAGGTCATGTCCACTAAGTGGACTCAAAATGCTTTTTTATGGAGAAAAAAGTGACTTAAATCTCTGTGTCTCATGGGACCTCATTAGAGTCCTCCTCCAGGACTCTGCAGCTGATATTACTCAGAATCCCACCGCTCCCACGCTGAAGGCCAGTGTGTGGACGCTGAAGGCCGGTGTGTGGACGCGGGATTAATGGGGATTAATGGTGCGGCTCTGCGGCCGCGCAGTGAGCATCGATTTCCCCATCAGCCCCGTGTGCGTTTCCTAAGGAGACGCTGCTTTGTGTTTTCAGGTGATGATACATTTCACTTTTTATTAATTATCATCTCTGCCCACATGGTTTATGCCTGATTCCATTCATGGAAATGCTTTCCTAATCTTCTTTTTTTCCTAATTGTTATGTCCTTCAGAAACTTCATTAATTTTGAGCGCTGATGTGTGAAAATGGCAGGAGGGAACGCCACTCACAAAGCTGTCTGACCAGCCGTTCTCCCTGCGCCCATTGTCAGTGCCACTCGCCTCTCCCCAGGACCCAGAGCACATCCGGGCACTCCCTCAGGTGCTTCCTGAATAGGTGATGCAGGAGTCACACGAGGGTCTGCCTTCTGCAGGGCAGAAGGATGGGCGTGTCCAAGAGAGGGGCCCGGTCAGAGCTGAGCCCTTCTCCTAGACTCTAGAGAGCCTCGTGTTCCCGAAATAGTTGTGGACATGGGCAGGTGAGAGGAAAGCGTTTTTTGCTTGAAATTTTCAGATGATTAGTTCAGCTTTAAGGTACAGTTTACCCACTTCTTGTGGGATTATAAAACACCTACTGAGATTTCAGGGGGACCCTTATAGCTGAGTTCAGACTATACTCTGTAACCTTCTAAGAAGTTTCCAGAAAACAGAAGATAATGTTGATTGGTCCGGCCGGCATGGCTCAGTGGTTGAGTGTTGACCTATGAACCAGGAGATCACTGTTTGATACCCAGTCAGGACACATGCCTGGGTTGTGGGCTCAATCCCCAGTGTGGGGCGTGCAGGAGGCAGCCTATCAATGATTCTCTCTCGTCATTGATGTTTCTATCCCACTCTCCCTTCCTCTCTCTGAAATCAATAATATATATATATATATATAAAACTAAAAAAAACAATGTTGACTGCATGCGATTTAGACTTTAACCTTTAAGCTTTTGCCTTAAGCTTGCAAATCCATGACCTGTCTGTGGCCCTCGCGCATCCAGACGTGCTGGGGTAGAATTTTCCCCTCCCCACTGCTCTGTGGTCTGTCCAGGGTGGGACCTGGGCCCGGTGCAGGTTTTGCTGCCGTGGTTCAGTTTTGCTGTGCGTGGGTCCCCGTGCCTGCCCTGCACCCTGGGTTTCGGCAGTGTGAGGGGGCCCAGTGAGGAGCTGCAGGAAGTCAGGACAGACCTCCACAGTGAGCCCGGTGACTGGTGACCGGCTGGCCGCTGTGGGAAACCTCCCTAAGCACTTTGTTACCCCAGCTTCAAAGGCGCCTTGTTTGTGGAGGATCAAAGGGTCTCTTGCAGAATCAATTCAGAGCATTCAGCACACAGGGAGGGAGGAGAGCATGTCTGTCCTCCGGGTGCGCGGACCCTGTGGAGAGACAAGGAGGGTGGTGCTCTCCGGCTGTGCCCCACATTCCACAGAGGAGACCAGAGCCGAGGCTGCACATGGACAGGTCCCCGGACAGCTGTGTGCAGCCGCCCCGGGCCCTGGGAAGCCACCTGTGCCCATGGGAGAAACCGTTTCGCTTTCCCAGGGAAGAGCTGAGTTCGTTTTGGGTCATTTTATTTTTTAAATATATTTTTATTGATTTCAGAGAGGAAGGGAGAGGGAGAGAGAGATAGAAACATCAATAATGAGAGAGAATCATTGATCGGCTGCCTCCTGCAGGCCCCCGACTGGGGATCGAGCCTGTAACCCGGGCATGTGCCTTGACTGGAAATCGAACCATGACCTCCTGGTTCACGGGTTGATGCTGAACCACTGAGTCACGCTGGCCAGGCTGGGAGTGTATCTGTAAACTATTTCCTGTTCTCTATCGCCCTAAATATGTGGGTGTGATCCTCAGCTATACTTTCAGCTTACTTATTTAGCTTAATACAAATGTCGTTTTGATGAATATTTTTCAGAGCATCACTAATGACTTTTTACTCCCTTCACGTCAGAAATCTCTGGACCCTCTTGTATTTCTGATTGCTTAGCTGACCCATTTTTGGCAGGAGGGGCGGTCAGAACACCCACTGCTGGTCGACCAGAGGTTGTGCGCTGAGTTCCCGTGTTCTCTCTCTCCCTGTGAGTGGCTGGGCACCTGCCCTGTGCTGAGCTCATGGGGAGGCTCTGCTGAGTCATGGTTCCGGCTGCACGTTGGAGGCTGTTATAAAGTATCAATCTGGTCTCTGAGGGACACGATTATGTTTCTGTGTCATTCCGGTTCCTGGAGCGCTTCACACAGTTACTTTTACTGGGTCCCTATTAAGCTATGTGAGAGGTATCATCATTTGCATATTTCCTTATGCATTGTCACCTGTAAGCATCGCATTTTATTAAATTAAAGTCAGAGTTAAGCCGTGAACACTCTTGTCAGGTACTGTGGCCTACTTGGATTTTTGCACATCTCATGACGTCTAGCAGTTTCAGGTTTTTTTTCCAGTGATTAGAGTAACGCATGCTCTTCCGATTAGCTATTTGTCTTCACAGTTTTACAAGCGAGGTGTTTGCACTTGGAATTTTTTTACAGAACAAAGTCTCCATTTGCTAGTGAGCACTTATAAAATGACAATTATTTTAGACATTATCTCTGCTTTTTAAAATCAAAACATTGTTTTCTTTTTTTCCAGTTATTTTTTTAATCCTCCCCCAAGGATGTTTTTTATTTACTTATTTTATTTTAGAGAGAGAGAGAGAGAAACATTGATATGAGAGAGAAGCATTGATTGGTTGCTTCCCGTTAGTATGCGCCCTAAAAGGGGATCCAACCTGCAACCCGTTGGTGTACAGGAGGATGCTCCAACCGGCTGAGCCACCCGGCCCGGGCACACCTCCCTGTCACACTCCGCAGGGACAAACAGGAGTCTTGGCTCCAGAGGGATCCTGTGGCTTCCGGGAGGTGGGGCTGTCACTGGTGTAATTTGGAAGAGTGCCAGCCCCCTCGGGTGTCACAGGGGCTGGGGGCCAAGCTGTGAGCTTGGCTACTATTGTGGCAGAAGCTTGGCTTCCAGGGTTGTCCTGATTCTGTAGCCCCGGGCCCTCCTTCCCCTGAGGACTCTGCTCCCACCAACCCCCTTACACTCCTGGCTCCAGGTACCTGGTTGCCCGGCACACTGGCCAGCAAACTTCTGAGACCGTGTCCTGCTGGAGAGGAGTCATGTTGGCTCTGACTTCAGAGATGATCATCAGGATGCATTGTATCCTCACTGGATGGTAGAGAAAGTAGAAATTAGGCCATTTTCCCAAGGTAACACCCTTGGTGGGTGCCCATTCATTCAGGCAGGTGTGTATTGATTACCTGCCGTGCCACCTGGGGAGCTCAAAGCCCAGAACCTGGGAGCCTGAGGGGCCTGGCTGTGGTTGGTCAGTCCAGGTCCTCCCAGGCCGCCATCTGTACACAAGGGAGGGGCTGCTGAGGGGTGTGCTGTTTCTCCTCGAAGTTCCCAGGTAGTGAAATCTAGACCCTCCTCCCTGTTACATGCTCTGAGCGCACTCCCCAAAACTGTCTCGCCCTTCCTGAAGTTACTTACTTCTTTAACATATATGACTGATCTTAGCAATCGAATTCTGTTGTGTGTGATTTGCCTCCGTTTATGTCTGAGGGTTCTCCCCTCTCCCAACCACAGCCTAAGATTGTAGAAAATACAGTTATATCACCTGGCGTGTAGCCTTCAAGGTTTTCTTTGTTTTGATCTGTTCTTTGTATTCATCTTCCACATTAAAGATTCTGGTCTTCCCTGCGTGAGTCTGGTGACCCAGCATCTTGCATGTTTTAATTGCCTTCTCTGTTCCTCCTTCACAGCCATCATCAGAGACATTCTTCTTGTAATCGTAGATGTTTGAGGCAAAATGAAACTCTAAAGGGTGTTGTCCCTGGGATTTAGAAAGGCTGTCCCCTCTCACGTCATCTCACTTGAGCCCCAGGAGCTGGACCTGCAAGATCAGCCAATCTCATTTGCAACCAACACGTGCACACATTTCATGTTTTCTGTTCCTGCTGAGTGACAGCTGTCCCACGTGGAGGGTGCTGGACGCCACAGACGCTGGCCGTCCCCGGGGTCCTCTGCTCAAGAGAACAGCTCAGGAAACACAGTCAGACCCACGCATCGCCACCGGGAGGGTCAGGGGCCATGTTAAATGCTGTCCGGGCGTTGTCAGTCATCCATAAACAATTCCGTTTGTATTAATAATGCAAATAATACCGGAGTCAGAGTAGCTGAAATGGGCCTGGAAGGCGGTCGCTAAGCAAAGTGGACGGGCACAGTGTGTGGAGTGGCACTCGGCCAGTTGGAAAGCAGTGGGGGCCGTTCTGAGATGGGGGTGGGGGCGGGAGTTTTGTGTTTCGGTGAGTTGGTGTGAGGCTCTCTCCAGAGGCCTCCCAATCTGTCTGCGACTTTTTGGCAGGAGCTTTTGGAATAAGGCCAAAGGGATTGTCCAACTGCACGGAAAGGAAGTGAGGTGCTCGCTGTGTTCGCCGGTCTTCTTTTCTTGGGGGCCAAAGAGACTGTAGCTTTCTACATCCTTTTACAGCATCATTTCTACCAGAATGAGTTCGAATTGCGTGGTTTGGCTGATACTCATTAAATTAGGAGAACTGGCACATGGGAAGCCTTTGCTTTATTTCTACCGTCCGCGTCTCCATAGAGAAATCTCAGGTGGACAGAAGTGCGTTCCTGGGGTGGCCTCTGAAACAGGCTTTGGAGATGAGAGCCAATCCTCCAGTCGCCTGCGGTTGGCAGTAAAAGGATCGTGTGTGTGTGTGTGTGTGTGTGTGTGTGTGTGTGTGTGTGCGCGCGCCGGTGGAAACACTTTCTTCATTTCACAAGTTGCTTTTGAGAAGATGGGCGCTTGGTGGAGAGACACCTGGGTGGGGGGTGGCTACCGGAGCTGAAAGCTCGGGTATCCTTTCTTCCTTCCTCTTGGCCATTGCACAAATACACCAGACCAGCTCTCTCCCCTTGTCCCAGCATTAATCATGCCTGTCCATTTTGGGTGTTTACACCTTTAAATATTTATGAGCTGCTGGGTCCTTTATTGTTGTTTACCCGCTCCGGGCGCTGGGACGCCTTGCTCTCCTTCCGCAGCCAGCACTCCCTTCCCTTCCTCATTCTCCTGCCCGGTCTTTGGATTGCCTCCAGTTTGCATACATAATTTGGGGATTGAGGTGCCAAAAATATAGTCGTTCCAACTGGAGTCTTGTTGAAGTCGCTTTCACTCGAATCTCATACCCAAATAACTTGGATTTCTGAGGCTTGGAAACTCAGCAGGGGCGCCCCAGGGAAGCTGAGATACACAGAGAGGGTTTCAGAAAGCTGCAGGTGGGTCGCAGGTCCCAAGGGAAGTGGCATCTGGACTGGAGAGATCTCAGAAGGAGCGAGATTTGAGCAGTTCTGATCTCAGCCTCCGTCTGGGGGCGCTGTGAAGATCTTTGTGGTCACCAGCAGCCTCCTGGTTGTTAAGACTCGGATAGGATTGGGTTCAATCCTCATAGCCACTCTCTACATTTTTATGTACTTTTTCTTCCTTTGCGATTTCAGAAGGTAGAGTCCTTTATCAGCAGGAAAACAGTTGCCATCACGTTCCAGAGAAGAGACGGACGTTACATTGTGGCCGGTGGGAGTGGGTTCATGTGGAAGGAGGGCATCCGGGACCCGTGCTCCGGAGGGCGTGACATGGGAAGATTTATTTGTGACATCGGATGCACAATCAAAGGAGTGCCCCCTGGGTACCCAACATCTCCTCTCCGTCTGTCCCGCCGTGGACAAAGCCCAGTCTTGCCTTCATCAGGCCCGGAAGTAGGGCCGGTGTCCAGAGATTCTGTGCCCTGCCAAGGCCAGACCGGCGCAGCCTGTGTTCCCGGCTGTGCTGGGCTGGCTCTGTGTCCAGGACCACACTCGGAGCCCGCCCGTCTACCGTGGGCCCCGGGCGGCCACTACTAGTAGGTCCACATGGCTGCTACAGAGAGAACAGGCGAGCAAAAGGGGTGAGTGTGTGATACCCAGAGAGAGACAAGTGCTCACCACCCCCCCTTTCTGGTTCTATCCCTTCCCCGTGGTTCCCTGGGGAGTGTGTGAACCTGACCTTCCAGGTGAAGCAGGCTTATGCTCCCTGGTTGATTACGCTTAATAATACCTGATTCCCTTTGCTCCCTCCTTTTATTAATATCGAGCTACCTACGCTAACAAAACGACCATTAAAATATTACAGAGAGACACTGAAACCCAGCAAACCTTGGGTGGTCTTTTTAATAAACTCTCCCTTTGGATCTGATATTTAAAAGGGCTTTTCAAGTAACAACTTGACAGCTGGCAAAAATAAAATGCCCGTAAAATTACATAACACGACCAAAGAAATGACTCAGAGTAAAATCCAGTGAAGGGAGAAGATTTTGCTTCCTCAACCAAGTGCCATTTGTGCCCTAAGACATCCACGTTGGGAAAAATACCATGTGTGACGTGGACACAAACCACAGGCTGCTCCCCCAACAGCAGAATTGATTGAGGCCTCGGAGAGGAAGTAAAACATGAAATACATCCCTGCGCTCGCTGGCCCGACCGGGGAGGGGGGGCAGGCGCCTCTCGGAGCCGAGATGAGATGAGCAGGGAATTAAGCAGTAAATCAAAAGCTCCCATCAAAGCTCCCGTCCTCGGTCATAAATGCTCCCGCCGTGGAAGGAGGCCTCGTGCACAGAGATCAAAGCTGAGCGCCTCGCCAAGCACCCGGATTCCCTGCTCGGAAAACCAAGAGCAGGGAGGACGTGGAGGGAACACATCAGAGCTACTCAGAGCCCCACACAATACCATCTCCCTTTCTCAAGGGCAGCTTGCTCCATCACAGAAGCCAAAGGAATCGTGTTGGCGCTTTGACGGAGAGCTCGAGTTCTACCTTCAAGCAGGGAGGGTGGCCCCCTGGGCTCGGTCGCTTATTGCTGACACACACGAGGCTGCTTCCCGGCTATTCGGCCCTTCCACGTTGATAGTGAGGTTCTCTTCACATCTGCAAAGAGCAGGGACAGGGGTTCACATGGAGAAAAGATGGGCTCTCGCATGTAGCTGGGTCGGAGGCTTCCGTCCGAGTTCATGGGCATATTGTTAACTTCTCCTTACTCAGTGCATCAACCCTCGTGGGAGGTTTGCTGCTTCCGTTCACTTTGTGAGCGTAGCCGGTCCCCGAGCTGTGCACGCTGACCCCGTCCTCTGTATTCTTCTGTCATTCACACTGTATGTCCTTAGTGACATTTTCAACCTGCACCGTGGATAAAATGGCAGTGAAAGGAAATAAATCTTAGAAATGACGGTCCAGTTGTCTAGTACAGGATGTTTCCTTCCTTTGTGGGAATTAAACCTTTAAAAAACGTTCATTCCTTCATTCATTCAAAAATTGTTTTTGTTTAACTGTTTCGAGCCACTCGGCTGAGGATATAACAACAAACAAAAACGAGACCCGGTTTTTACCCTCCTACAGCTTACAATCTAATAGGGCCAAGACCTATTGATGGGATTGTCACTCAAACAATGTCACATTGCTTCTGGAAGTGCCAGATGGGCGAGTTAAACAGAGATTTGACTTGTGGAGGTCAGTGAATGCTTCTCGGAGGAACTGCTGCCTGGTCAGAGATAGGAAGTAACTGGACAAGAGGGACGGCAGGAAGGAGGCATTTGATTAGACATTTTTCTCGGGAGTGGGTGGTAGTGGAAGAACAGTCCAGCTACAGGCAGAGGACAGGGCCGTAGGTAGTGTACTGATTCAGAGAATGGATTTTAGCACCAGGAAAATCAGAAATCTGGCAACTTCTCATTTGAGAATGCTGGACAAATCGGACAACCTCTTTGAATCTCAAGCTATTGACTGTAATCCTTATCTCATAGAATTGCCCTGATAAATGTTAGCTATCATCATCGCTATCATCATTACCACCACTATCACCATCGCCATTATTATCATCACAGCCATAATCACCATCATTGTTATCATCATCACCATCATCATCATCATATCACCATTTATTACCATCACTATTATTATCACAACCATCATCACCATCATCACCATTGCCACCATTATCACCACCATCATTATCATCACCACCATCATCATCACCATTATCATCATCATCACCGCCATCATCACCATAATCTTCATTAACATCACCATCACTACCATCACCATCACTATCATCATCATCATCACGACCATCATCACCACCACCACCATCACCATTATCACTATCATCACCATCACATTATTACTGTCACCATCATCATCACCACCATCATCACCATAATCTCCATCAACATCATCACTTTAGGGGCCAGCACTGATTTTAGGCTTATCATTTCATTACTTTGAGTTTCAACTTCATACTTTTATAAAATGGAGGTGTTGGATTAAGTGATTTCAAGATTCCTTTCTGCTGTAATGTTCCATAGTTTCCCACGCAAATCTAAACCTGGACACTTTAGCTCAGATGGGAATCCTGTCTGATGCAGGTTAGGGGAAGTGTTGCTTTTGGGGAAATGCTTTGAAAACAAGCACAGTTCTGCCTTTTAGCGGCTTTTCTTATATTTTAAAAATTACATTTTAGAAGTTTCTGTTATCTTAGATTACAGTTTATAGCACGTATTTCTTCTGCTAAGAAGCCTTTAAAGTGCTGCCGTGGGACGTTTAATTTCCCATTATGGTTAGTTTCTCAGATTCTTCCCTTTGTAATTGTCACATTTTTACAGTCCTGTTTAAAATGAATTTATTTTTCCAACTACAGATATCAAGCTGAGTTGGAAATTGAAATCCAAGGACTGTAAAATCAAATGATAAGAATGTGGCTTCGGGCGAAGTTTTCAACCACCACAACCTCTAGAAAGATCACTACAAAAATGTTTCCTTTTTTTCTTATAAAATCCGTAAGAACACCTCTGAGATTCTTTTGGTCAAAATAAAATTGCATAACATTTCTAAACCTAGTCAAGGGAAACGGACCTACACCTTGTTATTTGTTTAAATAGTTTAATATTTTGTTTGATTGCCTCATCTTTACTCTGTTTATACTTCACTGAAATTACTATTGTTTCAGCTTTACAAAGTCTGCTTTTGACTAGAGTACGTTAAACAATTTAATCTCTTTTTAGTGCCACAGATAGGAGAAAGAATACATATGTTTCATATAGAAGATGTCCCAAAGAAATGTATGCACACTCGAATAGCCGATAGCTCCATTTTGAAAATGAAATGTAGTTTAATAAACACGTAGGTCTTTGCGCCCTAGTCTTGTCCTCAGTAAAGAGGAGGGGGTGGTATAGACTTTATTTTTAACAGGGACAATGGCACACTGTGTTATATTCGATATGTGGTGACAGCTCAGTCACTGTGGCCAGCAAACGAGCCAGGCGGGGCCAGGGCGGCCTGGCCAAAGTTTGGGTGCCAGCTTTGTTTGTGGGCCAGTGGGCTCCCCTCGATGGTGTCAGGTTTATTTGGGTTCCTGAGACCAGTGAACGGAGTCCAGGAGTGCACCACCTCAGCCACTCCGATTCCTCCCACACGACTGGCTACCTACTTACAGACACGGCTGTTTCCCTTCTCCTGGTCCTGAAACGGAAGCTCCAT